GCACAAGGACACTTCACTGCTTGTAAACTGTGAGGTTTCTGGAGTGAGTGGGAATACTGAGTAATTCCTTGCATCTGATATTATTGCTATATACTTCCTCTTTACATGCCCATAGTTTTAAAGATAAGGTACTGGGCCTCAGTAAAAAGGGAATTTCTGCTTTTCTGGTTATCGTCTGTCTGTCTTTCATAGTATAGTCGCTCTGAGAGGTAAATGCTTGTGCCTACGGATCCAAACTGCAGCTTCTCTTATAATTTTGCCATAATTGTCAGTGGAACGAGTAAGTCTGTACTCATGGAAAAGCTTGGGGTTTGTTCTTCACTGAAATTTAGGTCACGAGGACTCTTTCTAGTTTCCATTTTAAGCTCAAATGTTGAAGTTTTCTTGTTTTTCAAAATTTTGTCTTTATTGTGCTTATTTTTGGTTTTGCTAAGATAATAGTTTGGCAAGATTTGAAGGAAAAGGAAGGTGTGAATATAAAAATGAAAAATAAATCAAAGAAGAACAGTAGATATTCAAACATTCTGAATAATACGTTGTTTTAAAATGTGATAGTGTACTGGTTGCTAATTACAGCCTTTGTGATCAGGAGTAATAACTGAAGGTATATAATGAGAGACAGGGAAGAAGAGATCTGCCAGGTTTATGCTGCTAAAATGCCCGGAGAGGAAATGTTTTGTTTTCGTCATGGCTAACCACACAACATTTGGCAATTAGAAAGAAGGAGACAGAGCTTTTTCTTATTAGGTAATTCTTGAAATGAACTTATCACCTGAATAGTGGGAAATAATTGTAAAAAACACGACCTTTTTCTAGCTAGCAACAACATCTAGTTCACATTTTGTCAGCTTGGATCTATTGTATGCTACTTTAGTCCAGAGATACAGCCATGCATTGTGTTACTGAGCTTTGACATCTAGGCAAATGAGCTAGAAAAGCAGCTTTTGGCAGCCACTGCCTGCACATTGGTGTTAGTCTTTGGTTCAGACAGAGCAGTGAGCTTTGATTCTGTCGCTGTTAGAGCGCAATGTGCATCATGGGTAAATGCAGTTAGCTGCACTGCGGGGCTGACCCTTATCTCATTGCCCTGCTGATGAAGCCAACAGATCCTACTTGCATACACATATGTCACTTCAGCTGATATATTTTAATTTAAAAGTGTTTGCAGAGTGTGTGGCATAGCTCTTGCAGGAAGTCTGGAACCATACACACACAGAAGAAAAGAAAATGCCTGAATCCATCTATGTTTGGTATTTGGTACTGGTTATAGTCATTAGTAAAAGTAAAATTAATCTGATTTTCTCTAATAATTTTACATATCCATTGAGATATGTTAAAAATACTGTACTCAGTCTGTTTCCATTTTTCTGCAAGCCTTTCTTCTTGCCTATTGTTCCTTGATACAGTGGTATTTTGGGGGGGGTTTAACAGTATTAGAAGTTGAGGTTTATGCAGGAAGAAACTTCCAATGTCAATTTGTGATAAAATACTGATTCGGTCAGTGCTGGCCACTCTTTCAAAAAAGTAGTTTAGATGTACAAAGAAACAAAGCTTTTCCATGGCTCTGTTTTAAAGTTTTGTTCATGCAAAGTCATATTAATAGTACTAATTATTTTTAAATATTTAATTTCCTTTGTCACTTTTTAGCTGCTTCATTCTCTGCTTCTTTGTAAAACACTGGCAAGCAACCTTTCTCTGTTTCTGGCTTGGCAGATAATGAATGTCTATTTTCTGCTGAAACAGGAGTGTGATAAAACAATCGGAGTTCTAAAAATGAAAGGTTAATTTCAACTGTTTTGCATTCTTCTAATATTACACTGTTGGAATACTCGACATATTGCCGGTGTCCCTAGTAATATGGTGTTGCACATTGCAGGGAGATGAACCAAATTCATCCACTAGATTTTTTTAAGCACTGAAATTGTCAGTAATTCTACTGGGCATGTATAGTAGGTGGCAGATGCCTCAAAACAGAGACCTTTACTAGTAAGTTCTCTCTAATTCCAGTTGGGACTGGGTCAAGTGTTACATTGTCCATTTTTGCAGTTTACTTAATGTACTTAATTTCTCACCCATCTGAGAAAAACTGTGTGTGCGGGGTGGCTACTGGAAGTGAAGTAGTGCTACAGAGGTGTCTAACTACTCCCCCAGTCATAGCGAGACTTACTCTAACTCTTGTTGCAAGCCTGGAGCAGAATCCCTGACATTTTTGTGTGTTGGCATTTTTAATAAGTGGACAAAAATATCGTCCTTGTAACGCTGCAGTGACTGGCTTGTGTTCCAAGTCTGTTTTCAAGTAAAGGTGCCCTTTTTAGCATACAGTCTTTCAAAATAGACACAGGCAGGATGATTCTCAGTTCCACACTCCTGCTCCATGATGCTCTGTGTGCACTTCCTTCATAGTGGAGCAATACATCTTGTCATCCTTAAAGCTTCACACAAGTCGTATTTGTTGACATATTTTTCTTTTCCAAACACACGTAAAGCAGTAAGAAGTAGAAAGCAAGCTGCTTTCTTTGTCAGTGGAGTTTCATTTTTATGGAATAACTCATATGAATCTTCAGCTGGTCTTAACTTAACGGACAAGGAAGAGCCGAATGGGAGAAAGCCTTCAAATATGCAGTGCTGACTGTGCACGCTTGTTTGCTTTAAAGGGCTGTCGTACTGTTGTGCAGGAGGCTGCCTGTTGTAAAAGGTAATTACTTCCCTGCTTCAAAGGTCAGATGTGATGGCAGGGAATACGCCTATGAGCAAAATGAGATCAAGCATTACAGGCAGTCAAGGATCATATTTATGTCTGGAAAAAGTACGAAAGACAAACTAAAAATAAAGAAGAAACCCCCAACTTTAATCAGAGCCTCGGGCAGACCCCTTTCCAATTTTTGCTGATTAGGGCAGTACCCTTTTTGTTGATGAAAAGGTTAAGTGATCCATTGAAGGTATCATTATTAAAATGTCAACATGAGATTATAATCAGTGTGGAAGGGTTATTAAATAGTTCACCATTTAAGAGCGAGGAAGGCAAAAAAAGTCACAGAACCTAAGGGGGAAATAGTGATAATTCCTGACTTCCTGGTAAAAACAAATTTACCATACTTGTATAAAAATACTTACAAATAAGCTTGTAATTAGGAACCTGTGATATACAAAATAGTGTGGCCTCACAGTTAGCAGAACAGAGAAACATATTTTAGTATTTAAAAAGAGAATGTGAAGCAGTTCAGTATCATAGTAATTTCTTTAATGGATACTTTAGAGAGAATGATTTGTTTGTTTTTAATGGGTGGTTACACAGTTTCAATGTCACTAGCAAAACTCTGGATAATTTATCATTTTTAAGTTGAAAGCCAGCTGTATCACAGAGGGAAAGGGATTAGCTTCCTGTCAACTTCCTTTCTGGAAAAAGTGGTGTGTGCACACTGAAAATATTTCCAGCTTGGGTAAAGTATGTTTGAAAATACCTTTTGGGTAGAGTCATATTTTGATGGGCAAAGAAAGAGGACTTGCTTTCAGTTTTACATGTTTTTAGAAACATTTTGAGAAATCTAAGGGGCTTTTTTCTCCTTCACTTTAAAAAGTACACACTGTTCAAGCTAGGAGAGTTTTGCCAGCGTTAACCTTGATCTCTTCTGGCACTGTGGCCTGGTGGAGAACATTCTTTCAGAAATCGCTCTGTACTTTGAACTGTTGAAGGGACTGCTGTGGTATGTGTGTGCAGCAAGGGTCACAGCATTTCATTTCTGAGAGACAACAGGAGGGCTTTATTATTTATGTTCATATACACGTGAATGAAGGCAAAATAAGAAATACAGGGCGTGGTGGGAATGTGGAATTTTACTCCTTTAGAGTTTGGATGTACCTGTTCCTAAAACAAAAGGTAGGGGAAGTACTGCAAATGCTTATATTCATGCATGTGTGGAGTGTTTACTAAGCCTTTTGAGTGATTTTAAAAAAGTAAAATTTCATTTTTTCTATCAACGCTCTGTGTACACAGGATGAGGCAGATAGTAAATATCTATGTGAAATATATGAAAAAGACATACTGTGGAAGAGTGAAAGTGCGTACACTATTGCAATGTGGGAATGCCCTATTGTAAATATAGAACAGTACAAATTACTATTAGTCATCAGTATTTCAGGATAAACCTTGACTAGGACTCAGTTTTAAAATGTTTCCTATTGTGTACAACTCCTTTTAATATAAAGGGTTTTTTTTCTTTTCCTTTATTCCTTAGCAATAACAGCATTCATGTGAAAACAAGTGTTTTATTTGCCAGATAGCTCCTGTCACATTTTCCCTACCTGAAACTATTTTGCTTTCATTAGCTAGAAACACCATCCCTTGGGATGCTTTACTACAAAGCATGCCAAAAGTATCCCATGGGAGCAATCTTTCACTAACAGAGAAATAAATGAGATTTCTCCTGTAGGTACTTTTTCCCAACTTCAGTTTCTAGAAACACAATAGCTCACAAGATCCATTAAATCCCCAGTCTCCTTTGAGTAACATGAAAGTAATCCTTTTATGTCAAACTGTAATATAACGGTACAAAAGTATTGCTTTTATTTGACAAAGCAACGAAAGACACAAATAAGCATCTGTCATTTTGAAGTAGAACAACTTGGAAATGAGCAGTCTTATAAGAAATAAAAAGTTTTCTTTTATTTTACACAGTAGTTGCTGAGTGACTTACTCAGGATGTTACCAGCAATTACTGTATAAAGTTAAATAATGCTTGAAATCTGCATTCTCCTGCTTGACTCATGCTCTAAAGATGACCTCTGCAATGGAAATAGAGACTTGCTTAGATTACAGTGAAAACTACAGTGTTTGACATGAAAGCCACATTACCCTGTACTATCTGCATCTGAATTTGAACAAAATGTGCTGGATATCTACATAAAATGATACTAAGCAAAACTATGCTATTTGTTGCTGAGAATTTTGGTATACAGTGCTCACCTCAGGGTTTTCCTGTCTTTTTGTTTTGTCTAGTGTTGAGGGTGAAGCTCCAAGCAGTGAAACTGGCACATCTTTGGATAGCCCATCTACTTACCATCAAGGACCTATAACACACAGTTCAGCTATAAGTCCAGACCATTACGATCATTCTGCTTACGGGCTGTATTCTGTCTCCCCTGGGCAACAAAGATCTCGGAGGCCAAAACTTCAACACTCAACATCCATACTGCGAAAACAAGCAGAGGAAGAAGCAATTAAAAGGTCAAGATCACTTTCTGAGAGCTATGAACTCTCTTCAGACCTACAAGATAAGCAGGTATTTGAGCATTGTTACCTAATCTATGACAAAGGCGACATGTCTGTAAGCTGGGAAAAATCTTTTCTAGCATCACGTCAGTTGTGATGCTGAAAATACCCTTTTTTCCTACGACCAACTTAGTTCAAAATAGTCATATGTCAGCATTTCTGAGGTTTTTGACTTTTTTTTTCTGTGTTGTGTCATCCCTGTGTCCTATACACCTTTTCCCCTTCCTGAAGAAATGTATAAAATATATGTTGATAGTGTTAAAAGTAAAAACAGTTTTACTAGGAAATGTGATTTCATCCTTGGGACAAGTACTAGAATGTAATAATGCATTTTGAAACCTGGATATCTTTCTTGTGCTGAAAGAAAGGAAGAACTTATTGCAACTGATAATCTCTCATATTTGTGGGGTGAATTCAACGTCTTAATTGGTTTTACTCCACTAGGCAAAACTCCCATATGCCTTACAAAGAACTAGATGGAAGCTACGTAGATGTTCAAAGCCTTTGTCCCTAAAAAGGCACTTCTGTAAGACAGTCAGCCTCAGCCCTTCCTTTTAAGCTTTATTCTGAATGTAGTCCTATTTGAAAGATGTTTATTGCCATGTAAGTTCATATTTATAATTTGAAAATGATGCTGTAATAGCTTAAAGTAAGCAAATATGGAGGATGCACTGGATTTCACTGATAGATGAACAGTAGCAAATAGAATCATAGAATAGTTTGGGTTGGAAGGGACCTTAAAAGGTCATCTAGTCCAACCCCCCTGCCGTGGGCAGGGCCATCTTCAACTAGATCAGGTTGCTCAGAGCCCCGTCCAACCTGACCTTGAATGTTCCCAGGCATGGGGCATCGACCACCTCTCTGGGCAACCTGTGCCAGCGTTTCACCACCCTCACTGTAAAAAATTTCTTCCTTATATCTAGTCTAAATCTACCCTCTTTTAGTTTAAAACCATTCTCCCTCGTCCTGTCACAACAGGCCCTGCTAAAAAGTTTGCCGCCATCTTTCTTACAAGCCCCCTTTAAGTACTGGAAGGCCACAGGAAGGTCTCCCCGGAGCCTTCTCTTCTCCAGGCTGAACAGCCCCAACTCTCTCAGCCTGTCTTCATAGCAGAGCTGTTCCATCCCCCTGATCATTTTCGTGGCCTCCTCTGGACCCGCTCCAACAGGTCCATGGCTGTCTTGTGCTGAGGATGGAATACATCAATGTTTTTGGTTTTTGGTTTTTTTGTTAGAGATCTATCTTGCCGCAGAATATTTTGTTTACTGTGAATCATTGTGGTATATTGCATAGTCGCTCCAACTTGTATGTTAACATGGCGAAAGTGGAAGCAGGCAAAATTCCGCAGACAGGAAGCGAAGCTACTCCTGATTTTGGACCACACATTGGTAGTCAGTGAAATTTATAGGGGCTAAGTCTCGTTTGCCATCTGTTTGTTGTTCTAAAATTTCAGGTTGGAGAATCATATAATGTTGTTCCAGAGAGACCTGGAAGAACAGAGCTTGAGTTCTGACTTAAAGTTGAAGCCAATATTTGGGATAGCAAGTGTGAGTTTAGTTCAGCCTTCAGGCTCACCAAATTCTATATTGGAGTGGGGACATATCAAGTTCCTGATTCTTGATCTAGATTATGGCAGCTCTGCTATTAAATTGGACCTCCTTGTGAGATCTAAAATGTTACTTCCTTTTCTACCTTTGGCAGTCATTTTTGCTAGATGTCTCGTAAGGGATTGATATAGAATGTTAAGCTTGCTAAAGAGGTCTCTTGCACTGCAGATATTCCACAGAGCCTAATTCCATCTGTCCTTTTATGCCGGTTTGATAGAGAATGAGGACTGCAGATGTTATTTTGTATTTGTTCAGGGAGTCCTACACAATAAAAAGTGACAATGATACATAAGGAAGCTTGATACTGAAGAGTTGCTTACTGCTCTTGAAAAGCTCTCATTGAAATCTCAGAAGATACTTAGAAATGATTTAGGAAAATGTCCAAGGCTTGTACCTAAAGGCAGTATGTATTAAATATGCATTAAAAAGGTGCATTAAATATGCATTAAAATTTATTAGAAATATTAGTCACAAGTCTAGTAAATCATCTAGGCAAATTCCAAAATAGTCTCAAATAAAAATTCCCACCAAAACCCCCTAACATGATAATCAATGATGATGTCATTTTCTATGTAAACCTGGAGGACAACAGCCTATTTGCAAGAATAAATCCAGATAATTTATTTTATAGAATATTAGTTTTTGGTTTATTCTTTCATACCAGCCATGCCAGTTTTCTTTTCTTTAGATTTGACATTTAATTTTGAGAGGACAACTAAATTAAAAATTCATCATTTGTTTTGAGATTAATCCAGCAAAATAATCTCTTATGATTTATTTAAATACATGTGACCTAATGTATACTATGGATAGAAATGTAGCAAATGTGTGGCAGCAGTGGCAGGGTTGTGATAGAAGTTCTCAATAATTTTTTTAATCTTCAGAATGCCTTACAAGTAACCTCATAGCCTCTTTGACAAGAGCAAATGTGGGGGTAATATAATCTCCATTTGGGGTTGAAAGGTTAAACTATTTTTTTAAAGACAAACTATAGAAAATTATGCAGAGATTAACAGATTCCCAGCTCAGAGATCAGTCACAGCTTTTTGAGCTTAGTTAAAAGAAGTTTCAAGATACAGTCAAAAGAACAATTCCTTAACAGTAATCCTGATCTGAGCCCATCTGAGCAGCTGGCCTCCTCAGTTATGCCAATAACTGTGCATAATTTTTTTTGCATCTAGAATTAAAAAAAAAAAAAAAAATTAGTAATTCACATTTAAAAACACCGAGCGAAAAAGCAGATCATCTTTAATGTGGAAGGGGAATGGGAGCTGCTGAATCAGGCAATAGCACTGAAAGAAATATGTCAACTACTCCCAAATGGTAGACATAATGGACTAGAAAATATTTTTTTAGTAGCATTTAGTTCCTTCCATAGAAGGGGGATGAAGTCCCTCTGCATATCAATATCTGAACTTACAATTGCTTGGAGAGATCTCCAAAGTGTGAGGAGGAGAGGTTGTGTGTGCACGTTCATTAACATAAGTAATTAAAACATGGTGTCTAATGAAAAGGGGTACCTGGATTTGCAAGCAAGGAGAAATGACTTTTGAATCATTGGAGTATTATGAAAATTGCATGGACTTAGACAAAAACACTGCGAGAAAAATGGTGGGTTTAACTGTAGTACTAAACATGCTGATTTGTGTTTATATGATAATACTGATGTATGTTTTGTGTTTGTGAATAATATGGATCCAGCAAAGACTGATCAGAACAGAAATTAAATATTGGGGAAAAAAATTGAAATAATAACAGAATTATTCATCTTGTTCAGTGTTTTTTAAATAAGCAATGCTTTTCATGTTTTGGAAGGAAAGGTTTGAAAATATCTAATGAGTATTCCAAAAGTATTGACATGTCATTTTCACGAGGTTAAATTGATAGCATTTATTACGAATTTATTTTGCATATTCATTCTGTTAATTGGAAACACTGGCAATGTTGAGTGTAATTACAAGAATGAAAATAGATTTGAATTTGTATTTAGAAAGTCTGAAATATGTTCTTGGTTTGAGGAAGACTCTGTTTGTGGATATTCTATGAGAGAAACCCCTCTGGAAGCGTGTGGTCTGGGAGGATCAGTTTTGCTTTGATATCAGGCCTGGGTAAAACGATGCTACCTGGTTTTTGTTCATGTAGAAAGCGATGCATACCTGGAAGGGTGGTGGCCACTTTTAGAATTTACTCCCAAAATATGGCAATTTGCATTATACTTGGATTTCACTTCTCTACAGTTGTCCCTACAGAGAAAGAATGACTGCATCATGCTGCATTAGAGTGCTATCTTGTCTGCTTTGACATGGGCACACCAATGCTAATGTGTGAGAACCACAATTTAAACACACACACACACAAATTACCAACACGATAATTTTATATTACAGTATTCACATAGTCACATTTTTGTCTGTATTTTTATGGTGGAACTTGCAAATGACTATTCAGTTCCCTGTTTGTGCAGTTGTTAGTCTGGAGCTTTGAGTTTTTACTTTCAAAAACAGCACACACTTTGAAAAATTTCTGAAAATAAAAGTTGTTAAAAGAAATTTTTTTTTGTTATACTTTAACCTTGTTCTAACCTGCATCAAGTTACAAAGTAATTGTGTTCACCCTTTCACAGGTGGAAATGCTAGAACGGAAATATGGAGGCCGTCTCATAACTAGACATGCTGCTCGTACTATACAAACAGCTTTTCGCCAGTATCAGATGAACAAAAATTTTGAGCGTCTTAGAAGTTCTATGTCTGAAAATCGTATGTCAAGACGCATTGTACTGTCCAATATGAGAATGCAGTTTTCCTTTGAAGGACCTGAGAAAGTCCACAGCTCTTACTTTGAAGGAAAACAAGTTTCTGTTACAAATGATGGGTCAAAGCTGGGATCCCTGGTACAGTCTGAATGTGGTGACCTTGGAGAGTCAGCTACAATGAAGTCTCCGGCAGCATCTACTGATTTTGCTGATGCTATAACAGAACTGGAGGATGCTTTTTCCAGGCAAGTGAAATCCCTTGCGGAGTCCATTGATGATGCACTGAATTGCCGTAGCCTACATTCTGATGAAGTCCAGACTCCGGATCAAGTCAGAAGCCGTGAAATGGAAAGGGATAGTTGTGCTCAAACTAAACCAGCAATTCACAATGTGGATCACAGGAAGCTTGATGAAATGACAGCATCATACAGTGATGTTACCTTATATATTGATGAGGAAGAGTTATCTCCACCCCTTCCACTTTCCCAGTCAGTAGACAGACCGTCCAGCACAGAATCTGATTTGAGGCTCCGGTCTGTGAACTCTTCTCAAGAGTACTGGTCCATGACCCACAAAGATGATAAGATAGACACTGATACGAGCTGCAGGAGTACCCCGTCACTGGAATGTCAGGAACAGAGGGTGAGAATGGATCATCTACCATTGCTAACTATAGAGCCACCCAGTGACAGCTCGGTGGACTTGAGTGATCGCTCAGAGAGAGGCTCATTAAAGAGACAAAATGCATATGACCGAGGGATCACTAGTCAACAAGGAAGCCCAAAACACATCCCTCACAGTATTCCTGCCAAGATTATATCCCGAGAGGAACAGGAGGCAAGACATAGGGCTAGGCCTATAGATAGTCATTTAGCTATCAATGGCACAGCAAACAGGCAAAGCAAATCAGAGTCTGATTATTCTGATGGAGACAATGACAGCATCAACAGCACTTCCAACTCTAATGATACAATAAATTGCAGCTCAGAATCTTCTTCTAGAGACAGCCTAAGGGAGCAAACCTTGAGCAAACAAACATACCACAAAGAAACTCGCAACAGCTGGGATTCCCCTGCCTTTAGTAACGATGTTATCAGGAAACGCCATTATAGGATTGGACTGAACCTTTTTAACAAGTAAGTACAGCGTTTCCTCCTTTTCTCTCTGTGTTTAGTAGAAACATAGCCAGGATTATTTTTCTTGTATCAGATAAGTAAGACTGGTGCCTGATACTGACTTCTCAGTGAAAAAATAAGCTGCGCATGGTGACTGTTCATGTTAGAGTACTTACAAGTTGACGTCTTCATAGTTAGACAGCTTCAGGGGAAAAGAAAAAATATGTGTATATATATGGTAGTAAACTATTGAAGAGGATGGATTGGATCCCTTTCTTGTTGAAAAATATGGTGGCTTCATCCTGATCTATTTTTGGTGTTGTAACAAATTCAGATTTCTTCCTGCCCTAATCATGTAGGTATTGTAAAACTTGTCACATGGGAATTAGAAATAACAAGCAGTGTAAGATGAGTTTCCTGTTTAACACAGGCAGGGCCTGGAATTTGTTCAGTAGATCTCATCAAAACTTTGATACTAAAAACCAATGCGCTGAATATTTTTATGCTAAATAAATATTTATTATTTATCACAAAATTGTCGTAAAATTTGTATTTCTGCCTATGACTATTAGCTTTCCCATGTATGGAGTTGTTTAAAACTTCTATAAAATAACTTTTTCAAGTTTCTTTGTTTTATTGAAATACTTTCTTCTTTGGACACTCCCATGTGGCTGTATAAAACCATGAATATTACCATAGAGGGTACCAAATAATATACTGCTTAAACTCTGTATTCACATTACTGGAGTTATACAGATCTCATTAGAACTATCATAATCGGAAGATAAGAACAGCTAGGTGGTTGGCATTAGAATCCCTAGCTTTTCTTCTCTGCTCGGTTGATGCCTGGTGTGCCAATTTCCCTGCCCTAGAATGGGTATCATTTACTTAAACCTTTTCTGGTACTAGTGCTTAGAAAGCTCCTCAGAACACTTAGATGAAAGATGCTAGGTGCCAGAATTTGTTCCTATTTTTCTTTAAAATACTGTTGGCAGCTCACAGTGTTTGTATAAGTTTTTGAAATTTTCTACAGAGGAACTTCAGGATTTCTCTATGAAAATTGTGTTGCTTCTGAAGAGCTAATAGGTATTTCAGTGTGCTGCCATAGACCTTGCTTCACAGTCTCCTACAGCTTGAATGAGTTCAGCCCTCCTTTTCAGCTAGCAGTGCTGTGATCTGTTTTGTTTGGATTAATAGGTCAGTGGTTCATCACATAATAATATGTTGTAACATTGCAGATAATTAAAGCTTTTTGATGCCATCACGTGAGGCTGTGCATTACTAAGTATGCATCGGCCAGGTTGGCTGTAAAAACTTTCAGGTTTGGTTTTTTATTGTTGTAAAAAGTTAATAGGCCTTTACAGAAGCTTTTAACCAATTGGAAGTATGTAAGTCATAGGATCTCTGCAGCTTTAACTGCTCAGGAAGTAGACTGGGTAGGAAGATATATCAATTACTTTTTTTAGAAGATTTGGAAACATTAACATCCTTGGTGTGGGGGGTGGGGAGGAAGATGCTGGTACCTTTTGGCTGATATTTAAAAGACTTGGTGTTTGCTCGGTTTTTTGCACAGTAATTAAGCCTTAAGTAGTCAATGATCAGTGAACTTAAGGCTTGATAATACAGTCTTTTGAGTCAATTGCAGAAGGGTGTAAGAAAAAAGGTGAATGGAAAAAGTGCTCAAGCAGCATGCAGAGATGGATGAGAGCATTGGAAATTGTCAGATGCTTCTAGTCACATGCCGTATCAGTAGGAGGCTGAAAGCGAAAAATAAACATCAGGAATAGAGAGGAATACAGACTGTTATTTGAAACGCATCTAAGTGATCTTGCTGCATGGACTTGAACAGAGTCCATATATTGTCTGGTTGTAAGATGACTTGCCGTTTCTTAGCAGTGAGTTCTAAAAGATAGCACTGCACAGAACTGCAGGCAGCACCTCTGTGTGTGATCTTTTGCTGAGTGTGATTGTTTCGTTCCCCCACCGCATTTTATCTCCAGTATTGATACAGAACTGAAGATTCTCTACCTTCTGCTGAGACACTCTGATTCTATTGATAGCTCAGACAGTTCCCAAGTATCCCATGTATCTTGGTTTTGATTATGACTCTTCAAGTCCACAGATTGTGACATTTCATTAATAGCCTTATTTCACCTCTGTGCAATGTCAGGTATTGAACCATCATAGAATGTGATGGTGCATGAATCTGTAAACTCTTTTGAAAGGGAGGTGGGAAATTTCCAAAGCTTTATTCCTTAAGAAGTTCAGAAGGAGACCCTTAAGAGTGTATCAGTGGGATTGCAAACTGCATTTTGTGAGGTAAGTGAGGGGATAGAGATTGTGTTCAGGCACTTGCCAGGATTTACAGGTGATGGTTTCTTCAAGATGAAAAATCCTTTTTCCTTTTATGTGTGTGCTGTACAGGTGCATTAGTTTCAGTTAACTTCTGAGCATTACGCTTATTGTTCTCAGCACTTGAAGTATGTCATAGCATCTTGTGTGTCCAAATGTTTTTTGAAAAGCAAGCCACGTCCTAGATGTTGGTTTCCTTGGCGAAGGCTGCTATTTCACATGCAGAACAGCATAAAGGAGGATTGCCCAACCTGGTTAGACGTGGGCCAGGAAGGGGGTCTGCAGGCCAGATGGACTTTCTGCAAATCAGTCCCGTCTTCACAGTTTCTGTCTCATGACATGGCAAAAATGCAGCTGCTCAGCATCTCGTATGAGCAAGAATCTGCCTACGCGTTCACTCCTGTGTTGCAAACTGCTTGCGCTTCCTATCGCGTGACCAGATGTACACCCGCGATGTGATGAGATACATTTTTTAGTCTACTCTCCAGTGTTCAAGTCAATGCAGCAGAATCATTTCGATGTCTTTTGATCACGTGATCTTTCATGACACATTTACAATCATAAAATGAGGGAGTAGTACAAGTCTTGGCAGCGAGCTCCAGAGGGGATGTGTGCTCCGCCCATGCGGAAGGGCTGTGCGCAGAACTGAAAGAAGTGGCTTTGAAGTTGCCTATTACAAGAAGTCAAGTTTTTTCCAAATGTCTGCACCTACCAGAGGAAGTTTTAGGGATGTCTTTTACAAGAGTTCATGTTAATTTCATTGCATCTTTGAAATCTTTCTTGCAAATTAAGATCCCAACCTTAATTGACCAATAATCGTGTCATTTCTTTCTGGTACTTGAAGCTTGGCTGAAATGCAAAGAGTTTAAAACCTTAAAGAAGTGCATGAATTGTAGTAGAGTAAATACTTCTGCTTTGTTCACTAGGAGTGTTGAAAGAATGAAGTTTTAAAAAGCACGGAAAGTCACTATCCTCACAGTTGAAATTTCAACAGATGCTTTATAATTTTTCTGGCTTTCCTATTACAATAATAGTTTTCAGAAGCCAAAGTGCAGTTTTCGTAGCAGAGGCCCTTTATTAGAATAGCCAGTTATGAGTAGAAGTTCAGCACAACTGGTGGTCTAGTTTACGTAATCACTATTGTATGCAAAACATTAGTAGCACAAAGGTCCTTGGAGAATGGAGAACACAGGGCAGCAGAGAAAAAATGTAGTAATTGAAAACCATTTTTCTAGGAGTATTATCATTTGATCATAGAATTTGTTTCAAACCATAACTTGATACTCAATTTGGAACCTCAGTGTTGATTAAAGTAGTATACTTTTTTAAAGATGTTTTGTGGTATCCACTATACTAGAACATAAAGTATTGCCCAAATAGAATGCTTTCTGGCAAAGAAATTGCAACTAAGTAAGAGCTTCTGTACATTCTCCTATTTTTGAATGGCAGTAGTGATTTCACCCTGTCAATAGGCTGTCAGATTGTGTGTTACCATTCATTGCCTTCCTAAAGGAAGGATTGCAGGTGCATGCCCGGAGTGCAGAGGCTCCCAGGGCAGCTTGGTGAAGCCAGCTGTGTTGAATTAGGCATTTTCTTCAGTGTAGTTTGAAAGGGTTGTAGTCTGGGAGAAATTACACTAGAAACCATTCCTCCTTTATAGGCAGAAGGAAAACACTACCTAGAAAGGTTTATTTTGCAGGCTCCAAACCCTGCCAATGCAAATCCAGCCTTTGAGACTGGTTTGCTTATAAACAAGGCTTCAAGAGGGCTTTTGACTACTGCTTTAAAAAAAAAAAAAAAAAGAGAGAGGGGAAAAAAAAAGTAAAAAGGGCTGTGATTTTATTCTCATGTTTGTTTTGACTGCAGGCTGGAAATACCAGGTTTACCAGTTATTGCAGCCCAATCTGGTAGGATTTTCAGGTTCCATTCTGCTACGGGTGCACTGATGGTTCTAACAGATTAAATAGGACCCAATGGTTTAACCTCAGTCGTCTGAGGAAACACGTCCTGCCCTTGGGTCAACTTTGCAGTCGGTAGTAGCAGACTGTAATTCTGTGCAGAGCTGTGCGTGTGTAGGAAGAAGTATATTGCCAGATTCCTTTCTCTTGTGCCACCATGATGGTGGCAGTAACTCCGGCTCCTTGCCAAGTATTTGTGGCTACTAGGTATGTTTGTTGGTAACACTGCCCTCAGTTACTGTCTCCTCAGACTGCAGTGACACACCCAGCTGGGCCATGTCGAATAGAGTATGACGTTGTGATTTTTCGGCATTCTCTCGGGCAGGGAGTACAAATGCTTTCTGTATTAGTAAAATATTTTCAACAAAACTTGGACAACATTAGAGTGGTTTGAAAATTTGATGCGACTGTGCCTAGTATTACAAAATATGGGAGATAAAAGTTTGTGTTTCTCCGACTCATTTGTAATCCTGCAGAGGCTGGAGTTATATTTACTATCTCCTTTGGGATATCAGATATTGGAAGACACTGTTAAATGTCCTCTCATCTGGCAGTGTTCCTGTGGCATTGTGATTTCTTGCCATGGGAGCCAGTCTTGCTGGCACTGGTGCCAATTTCTGACATTGCTGGTGAAGAGAGACTGTGAAGTACAGCTCGTGGGCCATTTGCACCATGCTGCTCTGCTTTTTATGCTGTGGCATAATTTTGTTGAGGG